CGGTTAGTTGAATATACACTAGCCATTGAACTTAAAAAAAAGACTACAAATTTCAGTATTGGGACAGAGATGGAAACATGGGGCAGAGGTGAAATAGAGACTGAACCTGAAACAAAATGTGAGTGTCTCGGTTGAGGCAGTGGGCGACGAATGCTTCCGGCGAATCTCTGCAGCTATTAATTTGGATGCTTCGCTTCAATCTGGACTTGGACTGTATAACATGAACCCTAGAGTGTGTCTGGCACTGAATCCGGTAAAGACGATGCCTACGGATCTCTGGTTTCGAAGGTCAGGGGATGACGATCATTGTTTTTTGTTTAGCACCGTAATAGGGAGATGAGGTTGTAACGGCTGATGATTAACTTCCTCCTGAATTTACGCAGATGAGGGGAAGTGCGCGAAATGGTTTCTCCAAATGCGCAGTTGAGGGGTAGAAACCGAAAACAAAAGGGTAAAATGGGGATATTGATTATGAGAAACACGGATGAGGTGCTATAAAAGTGTAAATTGGATGGGAGTGCTAGATATGTGTTTTGTATTTCTTAATGGTGCTATATTGGATGATTTCTTAAATAATAAGGAGTTTTTCCAAATTAGTCCTCAATAAGTTTTAATTACCTACGTGGTCCTCTATAATTGGATTTATTCCCAAAATAGTCCTTTATAATAAGGTATTTTTCCAAATCAGTCCTCAATAAGTTTTAATTAACTACATGGTCTTATATAATTGAGATTTATTCCCAAGATGGTCTTTTGTAAATAATATTACTCAAATGAGGATTAAGTGATGGTATTTTTTATCCGCTAAATTTAGAATTAATTCTTAAAATAATAATTTATAATGAAGTGCTTTCCCAAAATGATTTTTCTAATCAAATATGTATATTTGATTTGAAATTTAAAAGATTTTTTGAAGTTTTAAATAATTGATACATTATTTATAATCAATGTATTTTTTAAATTTTAAATTTAGTTGTACAGAAATGATTGTTTTGAAAATATACTTTAAATTTGGATGATCAAAATACCAAAATATCTCCCAATTAATCCCCATTTGATGACTGATTTTTGAAAATACGTTATAACAAAGGACCATTTTGAGAATTTACTCATAAATAATTTATGAATTATTTAAAACTTAAAAAAATCTTTTAAATTTCAAATCAAATACACATTTTTAATTAGAAAAACCAATTTGGGAAAACACTTCATTATAAATGATTATTTTACGAAGGACCATCTTGGGAATAAATCTCAATTATAGAGGACCATAAAGGTAATTAAAATTTATTGAGGACTGAATTGGGAAAACACCTTATTACAAAGGACTATTTTGAGAATAAATCTCAATTATAGAGGACCACGTGGGTAATTAAAACTTATTGAGGACTAATTTGGGAAAACTCCTTATTACAAAGGACTATTTTGGGAATTTACTCATAAAAATAAGAAAGAATATGTGGTCTACAATCTTTCTCTTTAGTCTAATTAAATTTCAACCACTCACCCATTTTCTTTTCATAAACTTTGTGAAGACATACTGCAATGATTAATTCGAAACGGAGAAAGTACCATGCAAGAACCTAAACAAATTGAAAATTAGCTTATAAAACTAAAAAAATTAACATAATCAAACTGGAATTGCAAGTTCTAGTTCTAAAGTTGAGAACCATAACTGGGATTCCTATCGTCATCTCGGTTCTGGAACATTCCCCATCATTTCAATTCAAATTCTGGACTGGAACCCTGTCCACCCCTAGATATGGGATTGTCTAATACGACAAAGCTTATGCTGGAAGTCTTAAGATGACCTGACCTAAAGCCTTTTAAGATGAAATGTTTAGGGTTTTAAAAATGTTTACACAGTGTTCATATTAGGGGTGGATGTGTTTTAACTTCAGAATTAGTACTAGAACAGTACTCGTAAAGGGCTTGGAGAAAAGAATTGAAAATCATCGTGGATATGCATGTGTGGGAATGTTATGCCCCAAAACCTGACCTATCAAAATTAATTAATTAATTAAGAATAATTAATTAATTATTGAGACGGAGCAGAGTTTATTTTAAATATTCGTTAATAAAA